CATTCAAAATTTCTAGAGCTACTGTCTCAAGTTACTAAAAGGCAGAGGAAAACGATTATATTACATTCCCATTTAAGAGGTAAACTTCACAAGCAGGAAGTTTGTAAGAGTAATGGGCTGCAGAAGGAAAGTTCTGGTTTTGGCAAAAGTTAGCAGTAAGATGTTTGCTTTGGTTGTGGCCATGGGTGTCAGTAAGACAGTCCATGAGTTTGCAGCACTGTTAATCAGAGCAAGAGGGAAAAACGTAAGGAACTGTGCTGGTTTGTGGTCCAGGTTCAGGTGTAAGGAAAACCAGGAAAGGCTGGGAGGAGAGGAAGGAGAGGGAACTTCTGGCAGAATATTTTCTTTGTGGTTTCTCAGATTATTTATACTGCTGTGAGTCATGCATGCTCCCCACTGTTGCCATGGATGGAGCTGCAGGTCATTGGCACGTATTTAGCCCAACCATTAGCTATGGTAGGTTGTGCCTCTGTTGGCAGCTAGGTAACCTGTGTAAAATGCATGGGTGATCTCCACCAAGTTTTAATTAGGCAGCTGCCTTCATTATAGAACAAGTTTGGCAATTTCCCCAAACAGTCAATTGCAGTTGCAGCGTGAGGGATAAAATAGACTGATATATTAATACAGACCGTTGTGTTAATGACTGGCTGGCTCTCCAGAGCAGCACCCCGAGGGCAGGGCCGTGATGCTCAGAGCTGGGGAACAAGTTGTACCTATGATGCTTGGGCTATTCCTGCATTGTGTCTTATGGATTTAGGTTTCCTCAACTGTCAGTCTGGCTGTGCCTTTTCATCCTGTGATAGTTTTCGTTTTTTTCTCCTTCATGGCTGTCTAAATTTTGGGTTCTCTGACTTTCCTTCGCCTATAATTTTGACAACAATGGGTTTCTCTTGGTCTTTCCCAGGTTTTAAATGCAATATCTGCTTCAACTATCTAGCAATGCTACTTTTTAAAATAATTATTATTCTAACAGGCTGAAATCTATTAGAAGATTCTTGGGTATTATATGTGAAAAGCTGCAGACTGCTTTTACAGGCAGGGATCTGACACCCTAGCTTTTGTCTGAGATGAATACCAGTGAGAACACAGGATGAAATTTCAGCAAACATCTGCTTTTAATTGTGAGCACATGGTACTTACTCAACAGGATCAATACCTTGGGGTACTCCTGATCTTTGAGGTGGGGAAAGGAAGTGATGGATTAGACCAGAAGTTTTCAACCGTCTCTGACATGCAACCCATCCCCCCTTCTACAGCTCCAGTTTCCAATGGAGCTGCACATGCCCTACTGCAGTAAATTTCTTTTTTTTTTTTTTTTCTTTCCTGTTTTACACGAATGCTTCATAAGTTATCTATGAACCTGCAGGTATCCCTGGGTTTGAAAACCACCATATCACTCCATCAGCAGCATCTATGTCTGTGTAAATGAGACCTAGGATTCCCTTCTTGCACATTAAGATGAGGTTTTGTGTCCAGTTTGGTGTTTTACTGAGAAGACTAGCACCTTACAAGCATGGCAGCCCAGCAGTGTCAGAGTACCTGTTGGTGTTGTAAAAGTATTTCCGTGAAGAATATTTACAGAACGGATCTATTGGTTTAAATAGCTCTGTGGCTCACAAGTTTGTCGGGTCAAAAATGCAATAGGAAACCAATGTCAACATTGCAGCACCAGCTGAGGAAGGTCTGGAGACACTGTGTCGAATGGGCAAGAAGAAACTCACTTTAAATACACCTTGGACTGCTGCCTAGAAGAAGGGAGGAATTCAGTAGCCAAAGTTTACATTACAGGCTGTGTTGGAAGCTTCCATCAATAAACAAGAGCAGACAGACGTGTCCGTCCGCAGCATTTCAGGGCACTGGAAGGGACTTCTCCCTTTTGCCAGATGCTGGCTGCTCCTCTTTGCATCAATGGCAAAAATGCATCAAACTCAGCTGGAGCATGCTGAGGCCCTTCCCTGATACTTACAGTGACCTGCACATATGCACTGTAACATAGAACAAAAAAGGCATAAAAGACAGTCTTTAATTCCACACGCATAAGCTAAGTGTTTATGCAGAAAATTAAAATTCACCAGCTGTGTATCTGCTGCAATCAGTGGAATCCACAGTTGCTTAGGAGACAGAAAGAGCTACAGTAGGTGATATGAATGTCTAGTGGAAGAAACGCTTTGACACTTGCCTATGGAGTGACAAGCATAACCAAGGATTTCTTAGAGAAAGAAGATCCCCAAGCACAAAAGAGAAGAGAAAGGGAGTTCAGGGAACTATTTCTTCAGCATGCCTAGGAATGATTACGAAAATAGTAAATCTGTGTGTAAAAGAAAAGGCCAGGGAAAAACTCTTGTGTTGTTACTTGGAAGCAATTCCCTGCCCAAAATCCTCTGCTCTCTGCTTTTATCAGCTCTGGAGCTCACCTGGCTCAGCTGAGACAGTTCCACCCAATCCAATAGAAAGCTGCTCAATTTCTTTCTTGATTAGCCTCCTGTTCTTCCAGTGTGTTGAACTGGCTCAGCATAAGGTGAGACAAACCCATTACAGATGGCACGCAAAGAATTTAGGATATGAGGGGGGAAGAAGTAGGAGAGGCTGTTCCCTGTTCTGTGGCAGAGGTTCTGTTGAACAATTCCAGCCTTGCTGTACTGCCTCAGCCTTCACTCTTTGTGATGATGTGGCCTAAGACCTTGTAGGTTTTGGAGCAAGAGAGAACTGAGGCAAGCTATGGGGCCAAGTCCTTGTATTCTGAGGCTATGAGTTCTTCCTAGTCACATGCCCTATAGTTCTCCATTGTTCCTGTTGTTCTTTCATCCTTCTCGTGCTCTTGATGTTGTATTCTTATCTCTTCTCCGCTTTTTTAACCTCACTTGCTCACTATGGTCTTCAAAAACGATTGTTTGTAACCACTTTTATTAGCAGAAAGGAAAACAGAGGAAGACCACAAGAAAGGAGGAAACCACAGAATAAATAAGAATTGAACATTACCATGAGAACTTCTTTTGATCCACAGAAAAAATAAATACGTGCTTCCATGTCAGCTGGTAAGGAAAGGTGAACAAATCTGCTAAATACAGATTATTTGTTGTCTGGAACATTGTTTTTCTCATTATATTGTCTTTGAGGAGCAGTAACAATATGTCTCAAAATGTTGTTACAACTTGACGTTCGAGAAGACTAAGAGAGAATTTTCCTTCCCTCTCCCTGTTCCCAACGTTTCTATTTTAATTCCAGATATCCTCATCAACACACAAATATAATCATAGCTCCTGATGCATATGCATGGAATAGCACCTGATGTCTGTTTTCAGTACCACTGGTTGTAACAAAATGTGACAGCATCTTGCCCACAGGGCATTTTACAGAACAGATATTTTAGCTGCTCAGCCAGCTTTTATTTTAAAAGACCGAAAGGCAGCACAAGATCAGTGGCAGCTGTGGCATGTATAAACATCATGTTAACCTGACTTCAGGACAAACTAATATCGTTCAGCTCTGATTAAGGAAATCTCTCCACTGTAGAGCACCCTGGCTGATGCAGCACAGGCTGTAGCTCTGTGTGTTTGAGCAGCTCCCTGTGTCTCACTCTCCACCTGCTCCTGTGTTCACATCACTCCAGTGATGCTCTAATCCAGCTGCCCCGTGTTCACAGCTCAATGATGGATCGAGCTAAGAAACAACCACAGGACAGCATGGGCAGCACAGTGTGGGTAGTGAGCTGAAGTGTAGTGATGTGCCACAGCCACATGTGAAGCTCATGGTACATCACACAGGATGCTGCCTCTTTGGCGAATCAGAACCACAGAATGGCTTGGGTTGGAAGAAATGTTCAAGCCCATCCAATTGCTACCCCTTGCCATTGTCAGGGCTGCCACCCAGGAGCTCAGGCTGCCCAGGGTCCTGTCCAACCTGGCCTTGAGTGCATCCAGGGTTGGGGCACCCGTAACTGTTCTGGACAGCTTGTGTCAGGGCCTCACCACCCTCTGATGAAAAATTTTCCTCCTAGTATGTAATTTAAGCTTCCCTTCTTTTAGTTTAAAGCCATTCCTCCTTGTCCTATCACTAAAAGACTGTGTAAAAAGTCAGTCCTCCTCCTGTTTATAATCTCCTTCTGATTACTGGAAGGCTTCAGTGAGGTATCCCCAGAGCTTTCCCTTCATGCAGGCTGAACAAGCCCAGCTCCCTCAGCCTGTTTTCACAGGAGAGGTGCTCCAGCCCTCTGATCATCCTCATGGCCTCCTCTGGACCCTCTCCAACAGTTTCACATCCTTCTTGTGCTGGCAGCCCGACACCTGGATGGAGTCTCATGAGAGCAGAGCAGAAGGGCACTATCACTCCCTGGCTCTGCTGCCACCCCTTTTTGTGATGCAGTTGGCTTTCTGGGCTGCAGATGCACACCATTGGCTTGCATCGAGCTTTTCATCCACCAGAACACCCAGGTCCTTCTCCACAGGGTTGTTCTCGATGACTGTTTCTCCCAGTCTGTACACATATCTAGGATTGCCCTGACCTGAGGACAGCACCCTGCTCATTGGCTTCACATGAGGTTCACCCCCCTCTCCAGCCTGCCCAGATATGGATGGCGGCCATCAGGGGAAAAGAAGTGATCTTTTTATTTGGGATAGCAGCGAACTCTGGGACAGACTCGTGCGTTCTCCAAACCCTGGCCTCAGAGCAAGCACCCAGTGCTTGTGGAGAGTGATTAAAGGAAGTGCCGGGCTCATCCTTGAAGCTCCAGCGACACAAAACATCTTTACTGCCGAGCAAGTAGGAATCGCTGTTCCTTCCCAGTCGGCTCTTCCAGCGCCTGGCTGCGAAATGCACTCTGGATGAGGCGGAATACCCCAGGAAAGGGCGCACAGCCCTCTGCTCCGCGGCGCACCTGCACCGCCCGCCTTCCCCCCAGCAGCGGGCAGCACCGCCTCCCGCTCCCTCCCCTCAGCCCCCGACCCGGGCGGGCTATAAGAGGCAGCGGCGGCGGCGGGGCCGGCAGCGGCGGGGCAGCCGCCATGAAGCCGCCTCAAGCGCAGCGTGCGGCGGGCCAAGGTAGGGCTGAGGGATGGCGGCGGCGGGACGCCGTGGGTAGGCGGAAGGGCTCGGGTCTCCTCACGCAGCGATTCGCTCAGCCACCGCTTTCTTTTCCCCCTCAGCCGGCGGCCGGCGTCCCGCGGCGTTGCCGGAGGAGGCGGGCGGCTTGGCGGAGGCTCTGGGAGAATTCGAAGCGGTGCTGGAGGACTTCGCTTGCCCCGCGGGCCGGAGCCGCTTCCACTACGGCGAGCACCTGGAGCGCATGAAGCGGCGGAGCAGCGCCAGCGTCAGCGACGGCAGCGGCCTCAGCGACTCCGAGAGTGAGTGCGGGTCGGTCGGTCTGTCTGTGCTTGAGGGCAGAGCAGAGGCGCTTAAATTGATAGCTTCGAGAGTCTCTATCTAGGGAAATACTCTACTGCTGGGAAAGGGAGGGGGTGAAATGCAGAGAAACAGCAGAAAACCCCGGGAAAGCAGCATCGAGAACCTAAGTTATGTCTATGGAAGATGATGTACCACTGTCTGTGGTTACTTGGCATGTCTGCTCCGACTCAGAGTCACAGAATGGCCAGGGTTGCAAGGAACCTCAAGGATCATGGATTTCCAACCCCCCTGCCACATGCAGGGCCACCAACCTCCACATTTAATACTAGACCAGGCTGCCCAGGGCCCCATCCAACCTGGCCTTGAACACCTCCAGGGATGGGGCATCCACAGCCTGTTCCAGCACCTCACCACTCTCTCTGTAAAGAATTTCCCCATGACATCCAGCCTAAATCTTCCCTCCCTCAACTTAAAACCATTTCCCCTTGTCCTAGGAAGATTTGTGGGACTTGCATCTTTTAATTGCTCTGTTAGGGCTGAAAGGAAAGGCATTTTGGGGGGAAAACAAATGTGTTCTTCTGACAGGGCAAAAGATCTAGTGAGAGACTGCGTGCTCTTGTAAATCAGCAGATGGGATCTTCAGGAAGATCTGGGAAATAATAACATCACAAGGGTGAACTGATTTAGACTGAATACATCAAGGGGAAAGCACAGTACAAAGGGGTTGGCTCTGTACGAAGACCTAAAGGGTCTTCACTTAGGAACTAGTCTAGTGCTCAGTCCTGATATATAGTTGAGTTCCTCCCTTACTGGTGTCTAATGGGAATGGCTATGGAGGAATTGGAAGTTTTCTGGGTGCTCATGTGCACTAAGAGACCTATTAGGATCCAGCTACCTCAACCACATGAGGGTATATTTACAGGAAAAGGAAAAGAACATCAGTCTGCTTTCCTCCTTTCTCAGAAAAGTCCCAGTAAAACACTTGCAAAAGGCTTCATTCAGGGCAGGCAACAACTTCTTTTGAACCGAGAGTAGGGTTGGAGAGGGACTGTGGATTTATGAAGAGCTCCTTGTACAAAACAGGCTCCGGTGTCTGATGTAATCCAGCTATGCTCCCTGTGGCTATTTCAAGAATAGGTGTAGGGAGTTTTCTACTTACCCAGGCTCTTTCCATTCGGACTGAAGCTTTTTCCCTAGGGCTGCCTTTCATTTGGTCTCTGTCCTATAGCACAAGTGCAGTGCTGAATTCATGACCTCGCTATTCCCTTGGTAACACATGGGTTAAACATCACTTCAGGGGCAAGGAGAAGCTGGGCTGAAAGAGCAAGTAATTGCAATGCATCTGTAACAAGGCAGAAGAAATGCCAACAAGGTTATCTGCAGATGGTTTGGGTTATGGTCTTGCTCATGAAGACTGTCTCTGCAAAATCTTGTTATGCAGTGCTGCAGACTATTCTAAGAATATCTTGTCATATATTTACAGAGCAGTTCTGACTGTTACATTTTAGTCTCCCAACAAGAAGATAAAGTACTGATCTCATCTCTGCTGATGTGGAGTGGCTGAAGGTTAGGATTTCTGCCATTCCCGTGGTGGTATCTATCACTCGAGGGTGTGTGTGTGTGTTGGGGGGGGGTGGTGGCATGATGTTTTAAGCTGTCGTAAATCAGTTTCAGGGCACTTGAATTGGTCTAAAATTTACTTTTCTAGAAGCTTGTAACTGATAGCAAATGGTCATAAAAATGCTGTTTTATGGTATGATAAGGAAAGGACTCTCTTGGGGCTTCTGCCATGAGGGTGATTCCATTTAATTTAAACAGAAGGATTTACAAAAGATTGTTTTCAGTGCAGTTAAACCCACAAATAGTGTTTCGTGGGGGTTTTGTGTGCTTTTGTTGTTTTCCTTTTTTTCTTCATTTTAAAAATCTCTTCCTGGGGAAGATGGCACCAACAGCACTAATGGAAAAATTTCTATGACGTATTCTGATCTCTTAAGGAGAAGAAAAAAAAAAAAAAGACTGAAGATGCTACTTTGGAAAGTGGATGTGATAGTGCTTGGCTCTCTCACATCTCATCCTGATGTTTGATTAGATGATCTTTGGACAAGGTCTGTCTTGGCTGTGGTTAAGCATTACATGTAACACACTAGACTCTAGATCTTTTGGTAATGAAAATGCTAGCATGTGCAGATGTTCATGATGATGTTAGTGCTTGGCACACAAGTGTTACATTAACCACAACAGCTGATTGAGTCACTGCTGGAAACCATGATGCAGTTGGGGGTTCAGTCCAACAGACATTCTTGAGTTAATACCAATTCTGTTTTGACTTTGATGAATTCAACTGAAAGAACAGCAGCTTCATGCTCCAGGTTATTGACTATGCAGAAGCTTCTGAGTTGAGGGATATCTTTGTTTTTTGCTGTGTATGTTCATTGTGATGAAATAGGATTTGGATTAGAGAGTGCAGTCTAGTTAGAATCTGCTAGCATAAGTGTAGCAGAATTTACAGACTTTACAGCTATCATTTGCTGCTGATGTGTTAGAATAAGCTTAAGACCTGAGAAAAGGGTCTGGAGCTTTATTGGGGAGGGTCAGGGTGGGCCTTAAGGAAAGGCTGTTTACTAGAGGGTTGTTGGCATAGAACAGGCTGTTCTGGGCAGTGGCCACGACCCCAAGCTGCTGGTGTTCAAGGAGTGTTTGGATGCTGCTCTCAGAAACAGGGTTTGATGTCTGGGTGGCCCTGTGTGGAGCCAGGAGTTGGAGTTAATGGTCCTTAGGAGTTCTTTCCAACTAAGATGATCCTGTGGAAGAGTAGAGGCTTGCCTGTGCAAATTCTGTGTCCACTTTGCTTTACAGTACATACGTTAATGTCAGGACAGTCGAGTTTAGGCTTACAGTAATGAACAGAGAGAGATTCTGTAAGAGATTGAGAAGAAAAATGCTTTAGCATTCTACCAAAGCTTCAATAACATCTAGAAGCCAGTTAATATAATTTGATGGTATACTCTGAAGTGTTTCGACATCAGCTACAGATGCATTTTTTTTTCTGAAACAGGTTTGGCTTCCAGTCTGCCTATTAAACAGCACTGCAAAATAAAATGTGTCAATTTAGTTCTTGCACTGATATAGCCTGCAGTGCATAGCTATTTTTAGGGGCATGTAAATGCTTTCTGACCAATACCTCCTGGCTTTTAAACACAATGAAAGACCAGGAGTGCATCTGGAGCTCTTAATTCTTTAATTCAAAGCCGAGCAGGTGTAAGTTTCAGGGGATGAATCACTTTGGTTAATGTGCAGTGTCAGGCATGGTGCAAGCAGTCACAGTCTGTGGAAGTCTATGGGGTTGAGCTGATGCCTCTCTGAAGCTTCAGCCACTGTTAGTACTGCAGCACTCATCCTGAAAAGCCAGTTTACATATGTGATCTGTTGCAGTATGTAGGGAAGTTGCAGAGAGACAGAAATGAGTGAAGAGATGAAATAGTTTCCAAATGACTGACTAGACTGAGCTGCCAGCCTAGAGATGAGATGGTTTGGGTGGGGACAAGCTGTCTTCCAGAACATCCCAAATGACATCAGGAAAGTGACTGCGACCTCGCCCAGTACAAGAAAATAAAACTAAACCAGCAAGACTCATATGATTCCATGATTATTTAATGGCTTGGGTTGGAAGGGACCTCAAGGATCATGAATCTCCAACCCCCGTGCTACAGCCAGGGCCACCAACCTCCCCATTTAATACTAGACCAGGCTGCCCAGAGCCCCATTCAACGTGGCCTTGAACACCTCCAGGGATGAGGCATCCACAACCTCTCTGGGCAGCCTGGAGCTGGCAGAACTGCCTCACCAGTAGTAAGCGTGATGGAGGAATAAGATGATAAGCTTTGAAATAATGAGAAGTTGGTCTTGCACATCTGAATTTCAGATGTCCAAGATCACTCCCTTGTGACTATTAGTTGCGTGATCTCAAATCTCTTACACTGTTCATTGTACACATGCTGATGGTGAGAGGTGTGAGATTCCAGTGGCTGTGCTGTAGCAGATGGTTGATGGCTGGGCAAAAGCAGCTAAACAATGCAATGAAATGTGTGATTGTGATGAACCAACCCTTCTCCTTGAGGGCTACAACATGCATGTCGTGAAGTGAGCTCTGTGAGGTGAATATTTCTCACTTCTATGGGTTGCATTCAAACCCAGATTTTTTATTTGTAGCAAGTATCTGTGTTCTGACTCGCAATTAATTATGCAGTCTATTCATTAAGTGCTGAATATTGTTATATAATAAGTTCACAATTTGCAGACTTAAGTGGAATTGCAGACCTTTTTCTCTGAAGACTTTGGGAATGAGGTATTTTTCTTCACTCATTGCAAATTATAGTAAAAACTTTTACTGATTCCAGTGCTTCTTTGTACCGTGTGCTGAACTGTGGTTCTATAAATAACGTCGTATTAAAGAAATCAGACAGCTGGTCTCTTCTGTTTCATTTTAAAACAGACAACGTTTGAGGCTTTCCTGCTTCAGTTAGTTACTGTCCAGAACCTTCCAGTTGTTCACGTCTTGGGAACGTGCTTATGCTTTCATGGTACTGCAGTGTTGCTCTTTTTGTGGTTTATTTATATACTGGAACACCAAAGGTCAATTCTAACTACAGATTATGTTGCCAATGTAAAATACACCCATATCTGTTGCAACCCCCTAATTTTGCCTCTATTGGCATAGTTTAGCTCATGTAAATCAACTCAGTTGCTTAACTATTAGATTTTAAGGTCTTCTTATGGCCAGGGTTGGAAGGGACCTCAAGGATCATGAATCTCCAATCCCCCTGCCACAGCAGGGCCACCAACTTCCACATTTACTACTAGACCAGGCTGCCCAGGGCCCCATTCAATCTGGCCTTGAACACTTCCAGGGACGGGGCATCCACAACCT